CCCCAAAACCCCAAAACCCCAAAACCCCACATGAGGTTACCCGATTGAATTTATTTCCCCTGAATGAGTTTTAATGTGTTTAGCTCTGTATTTCTGGATTTTTTCATCCAACTCAAAATCCGAAACCTCTGAGGCTAGGAGGTTATTTTTGCCTTGTAGTAGATGAGAGATTAGAACGGGAATTCATAATGAGGTGGGAAACCTCTGATATTGTGCTGGATCATCTTAAATATTAGCTTCAGAGTCTTATTCATCCTCAATATGGCTCTCTAATTATCTATTTCCTTCAGGGAAGAAGTTTTTGGATAATTAAATTATTTATCTAAAATTTAAATGGCCAATGGAGGTGATTAACCTGGCTGAATTAAAGCATTAAAGTGATCAAACCTCCTTGAGATAAAGCCCAGGAATAATGAACTAGCTTAACTTAGTGCCCTATATATATTTCCGTGTTGATAATGCTTTTTAGCGATATTAAATCGATCGATTTCTTACAACCAAGATATGTTCATTTCTTTACAAATTCTTCCTGACAAACTTTGATAAAGAAGGTTGAGCCAAACACAGTAGAGACATATTTGAAAAAATGTAATTCTCGCTTATTGCAATCTAGTAAGCTCGTATATATCCTCTTCTTCATGATCATCTTAGCTTCATGACGAGGTTGTCAGATTTCCTGGTTTGTTTGCTGACTTGTTAATTAGGATTTTACAATCATTTCTACTGCCAACTCCAGTAAGTCTTCCAGGAATAATGGGATGATTGCTACTCGATTAAATGCTTGGTATGCTAGTCTTATTGCTGAAATAGTTTTTAGAAACTCTCCTTTTCAGTATTTCATAAAATCATCCGATGTTTTGGAAATCTTTCGAAGGAAATGGTAGAACAAAACAAATGCAATAAAAGAACTTGGCTTATGATCGAATGACTGGTTTTTTGTAGGATCAACAGAACTCTATTTATTAGATTATTCTCCCATTTATCTTGCGAAACTGTCTGAGTTTTTCATCTGGTGAAGTCGATCTTCTTTATAGGAAACTTATCAGAACCGATTTTAAACCAACTCTTTATCTTCCAAATAAGTTTGAATAATAATGAGAGGTGCTGGAATTAATATGAAACTGTCAAGCCAGTCTTTCAGAAGAGAATACATTCAATATTAACAAGGTTTACATGCCAGATAGCCTGAATTTGAACACTTTTAATAAATGTTTGAAGACTATTCGATATAAATAGAGCTGGGATGAATTCTCTTGTGTATTAAGAACTCAAAATGAAGAAATGGTGAAAGCTCCAGATTTAATAGCAATCTGACCTAGAAGATATTAGGGACTGAGACTAGATAGGTAAGCTTGTTTATTACTCACAGTTACTCTTCTTAGACTTAGTAGTTTTCAGGTCTGGCTCTAATACTAAATTCTTTAGTGATCCTTTTCAGACGAGGTTTTAATAGTGTTTGAGCATATGATTCAAGACCCTAGTCTTAGCCATGGAAGAAAATATCCTTCCCTTCTTCCCCTACTATTAGCAGGACTTCTTTCATCCAAATTCAGGAGCTATAAGTTATTATATGATTAAATCAGATATCATTTCTCATTCTAATGCTAAAAGAACTCAGCAAATTTTGGAAGAGGAGCCTTGATATCATTCAATATTTGGTTCAAATCATTGAAATTAGGTTAGATCTTGACTGTTTCAAAATTTAGATGACTTCAAAGCTAGGTTAACCAACGATATCACTCAATTTTGGTATGCTAAGTAGAGATGCAAGGCATCTTGGTCATAATTTAGGCTGAAATATTTAATAAAATAGGTGCTTTTCGATCAGATTTTCTTATGAAAAATTCAGACATTTGGCTGAGAAAGCCTCGGAAGGGGTTAATAAACCCTCAAAAATCATACTTGAGATACTATCAAAAGATAACTCAAAAGCGAGGAAAGACGAGGCAGGGAAATGGCTCATGGCTTATAAATTTACATCAGCTTAATTACGACAGTTTCATGAATTACATGTGTTATGCTATTGTGTGAGAAACCCTTCATGAAAATGAGTCTATATGAGCGAGCTCTAAATACAAATATTAACTCTAATGATCAGCTAAGAAGAAATTAGATGTTTCAGAGTTCTTCAGTGCAGAAATTTGCCAACTATATCATGCCCATAAATAGTAAAAATCTTTCGATTTTAGCTGTAAAAATGTTATTTAAAAAGTGGGAAGTAAGAAGTAATAATAATAAAAATGAATTTTTTGAATTTTGACAGCAACACAAATTGCACTCAATCTTTAATGTGAAGCTACTCAGATATCCTACAGGAGTTCAGCTCAATGTACTGACTCAGTGACCTGGATAGTTCAGTGCTAAAGACCCAAGATTATTGACTTTGCAGTACTCAAGAAATCCAAAAGACTCTGTATCCCAAAAGCGGTGGAATGTATCATCAAGCAAGAGCATATGACATGGAAATCTTTCAACAAGCACCTCAAACTAATATATCTATCAGACCAGTGGTCCAACAAAATATTGAACAGCATGGGAATGTGGAACCACTCCTAAGAAAGAGAAGGCGTAATACTAAAGAACTCAATATCACTGAAAGACTCACCGATTTAAGGTTGCGTATCCTCAGTGGATATGTGACTAAGTTTACTTGTTCAGCTAAAAAGGCTAAGAGTACTCATAAAAAGAACCTCAGAAGGAGATCCAAATATATTGGTGTGTCTAGAAACAATTCAAACTGGCAAGCACTCCTCAATGTTGACCAAATTAAGAAGTATATTGGCACTTTTACAAATGAGCTTCAAGCTGCTAGAGCATATGACATCTACTCAGTGGCAATGAGAGGGGAAGAGGCTTCTCTCAACTTCAACTACAGCGGTGAAGAGATGCTCGAAAGAATTGAGTATTTCCTTGAACATAAAACCATAAAATTTGATTCTTAAAATAACTTTTCTCTAGACATTTTCCACAGTTTCAATTCGATTTGATCTCGAAGGGGTTTTGGGGTTTTGGGGTTTTGGGGTTTTGGGG